AAAAATTTTTATATCTAAAAATATTTTGTAATTTTACTAGTAAATGCTAAAAAAACTAGGTTAAACTAGAAATTGCTAGTTTAAAAAAAAATATATAAAATTTAAAAAGATATATAAAGCTATGAGTTTTTATTTACAGATACCCCAAAAGCTAAAGTATTATAAAAAAATATTTAATAGATAGTTAATTTTAAAAATTAATAGATAAGTTAGTTTAATGATGTATTAAATCTAGTACAAAGTACTAAATCTAGTACAGGTAAATCCAATCCATTAATAATTCAAAATGTCACAATTCTGTGATAAAATTATTAAATTACATAGTCCTGATTATTAGAATTAGTTCAATTAAATAATTATCATAATTAATTGTAACGAACAAAAAAAGTTTTGAATATCTTGCACACGTTCTTTGCGTTTGTAGTTATGACTTTTTTAAATATTTGAATTTCATCCGTTCTTAACAATTTTTCAGGTATTATTGTAAATAATAATATTAAGGATTTTGTATTCGGATATAAATAAAAATTATCTTGATTATTTTAAGAGAAATTAAGGCAGCATCATATTTAAGTGCTGATTTGTCATGTTGTCATGTAATCAATTAAAAAAATCTAAGTATACATTATTGGATAGTTAATATGACCATGTGAAGTTTTTTCTGATATTTTGCAAAACTGATTACGTAATTTCATGTAAAAAAATATCATGGCAAAAAAATTCACATGATCATATAAAATGTCGAATAAGGTATTATAATTGTCTAATTAATGAATCGATCACCATATTTTGGCGTCGAATATATTAATAAGGAACCAGCAGAGTAGTATAGTCGTGTTAATTTTGATAATAAAAAGCGAAACGCGTAATAAGTGATTAATTACATGATTAATAATATTTTTTGATTATTTGTATTATTTTTTATTTTTTTTACATCATAATATACATTTTTATTTTTACATAGTTTAAAAAAATTTTGTTACATTATTTTAATTAAGAATTAAGACTATCTATGTAATTTTGTATACGCATCCAAAAGGAATTCAGTCATAATATACTGTATTAGATATTAATGTTTATATTGTATTCTCTTTTTATATTCTCTTTTTAACGATTATTTCTTCGCGTTAAAATATATTTATTATTTATTTATTTATTGTTATTGTTATGTACAGAAAAAATAAACTTTCTTTTTGAATAAAAATCTGCATGGCGAATATGAATTTAATTCTCATGTTTATGAATAACGATAATACAAAATACCCCAGTTAAATTAAATATCTATATTTTTACAGGGGCACCCGTGACAGAGGTCTGGACAGTAAGTCCTCCACTCCGCTCCGGACAATGACAAATTTATTTGTGGTAGAATTTATGCATTTTTGCATATTTGAAATACTTCATAATCATCTATTGAAAACCTCCCATTCTCTGAGTTTCTGATTGGCGGTTGATAAGCGTTGCCATTATTATAATAAGAACATATTTTAAGGCCAAGGGGATCATAAAGTCCAAAAGAATAAAACCATGGACCATAATCGTTACCATAATTAATTGCAATTGATTGATCATTTACACGACTAAGGATAGATTCTTTCATATTTTCATTTTTTAGAGAAAAAATAAAGCTACCAGGTGCAGGTTCTTGGCCTTCTTTACCAGATTTCCAGCTAAGAGAATTATATCCACCAAGTATTTCATTTGAATTTTCAACCTTGAAAACAACTATTAGCCCAGGAATATTGTCACATAATTCATGAAATTTTTTGGCACCGAATCCATCCCTACTACCTCTAAGTAACAGTTTGAACTCGTATGGAATTTCTGTAACATTATAAGTTGTTGGACGTCGATCAATCCAGGAAGAAATTTCTGCTGCATGTTCTAAATTGATTATGGAAGAAGGTATAGATATTGATTTTCGAGAAGGAAGTTGTGTAGTCAATTTTTTGCGAGGCGGTAAAATTGTAGATGTAACAGGCCTAATTGGAGATACAAGTTTTGTAATAATATCATCCCACAAATTTTCTTCGAGGATTTTTTTATAAGGTCGTAGTTTATCTAAAACTTCATCACCAGGAATTTGAAAATATCTAATATGAGGTAAGCAATTTTGAAGAGTAATTTTTAATGAATTGAAATTTTCATTATTCCATTTCTCATAATTGGAAGGTAAATTTGGAGTTTGTGCTTTTCCCCACAAAATAACTTTATCCCAAATCACAGATTCATCCAATTGTAATTCGTCATGTTTTAAGAGAGAAATCAATGCATTCTCCTGAAGAGTAGTGAAATCATCAGAATTAAAAACCAAATCTGGGTGTTTTATGACAATATCATTACAAAATTGTTGCAAAGCTTTGAAATTTTCATTTTGAAAACTAATCTGATAAATGTGAGAAAAATTTAATCGAAGCCAAGATGCATTATCTTCAATAAGGAGAGTTTGTAGACGATCAACAGATTCTGAAAAATTAAATTCATTGAAAGCGATCAAAAGATCAAGTATGTCAGAAGTTTCGAGGTTCTCTAAAGAGACTACTCCACCATAAATATATCTACAGGATATAAGAAATTCAAACTGTTAGTTCGATTTATTATAATAAAGTTTTTACATTATAATTATTATAAAAGCAAAAAAACCTTACTTAATAACAATATTAAATGTTTTAACAGATATATTGGGCAATTTAATATTAAAGATATTATTTCCTTTAATCGTATTTGCTAATTTTTGTTGAAAGTAAGAAGAGCGTTGATATAAGATTGCAGAATGTACTTTGAAAAGTTGAGTATCTGGCTGTTCACCAACTTCGATAATTGTATCATAATTGTATTCACTTTCAAGAAGTTTGGTAAAATCTTGTGAAAGTTTATCATAAAATGTCAGCATTTGGAAATACAAGTACAAATGATACAGTAACGCCTGATCGACATTTTGTATGTGGTTTAAAATCTGATGCACAGCCAATCAGCGTCAGCTATGTAGGTTTTACACGATTAACGTATGATAAGCTATTTAATAATAACAATTTTGTTTTCGGATGCGAGTTAAAATTATTAAATTCTATATATGTTTGACTTTTTCTGTGTGGGAACTAAAATGATTTTATCTTTTATTAACAAAAGCTAATTGGCTATCTGAAGCAGGGGCTTCTTTATAAATCATATGATTAATACCGTTTAGATATGCCGTAAAAAAAGTGTTAACGTTAATAAATTCTTACTATAAAAATGGTAGGAACCCAAAGGAAGAATTTTGTATGATTGGCAGTTTAAGTCTATTTACTTTTACATGAATGACACGGTTTAAAGTACTTAAAATAAAACTACGAAGAATAAGCAAGAAAGAAGTATATAGAAAGTTTTATTATGGTTGCAGGACTCCATGATTAAAAATAATCAAATTTATTTTTGGTTTAGTGAAGTTATCAAGGTAATAACTATCTTTAAGAAGTCGCTATTATGTTAACTTCTCTAAAACCAAAATTGATTTTGATTATTTTTAATAGTGGAATCCGCAATTTCACCCTTTTTGTCCATTATTTTTAATTCATAAAAAAGGACCACATTTTTTTGTTAGGTTAAATCATATGGGGTTTTATCAAAAAGTGTGCCTTTTTATGAATCAAAAGAGCAGACCCTGTGATCAAAAAGGATGGGCTTGCATTCTTCGTAGTTTTATTTTTTTTTACAAAGTACTTTAAAATAACTAATATAAATTAAATAGACTTAAACAGTCAATCTTACGAAAGTCTTCCTATGAGATCTAACCAGTCATCCGGGTAACAGTATACCTGACCCAAAAATTTTGTCAATCGGATCAGACTTTTAGCAAATCGGTAGATCGAAATTTTTTACTACACAGTGGCTCTTGATATAACGGACCATCGATATAATGGATATTGCTTAATACGGAGAATTATAATGGAACCAAATTATGATTTACTATAATATCTTATATATCATGAGATTTTGATATAACGGAGCTTTTGATATAACGGAGCAAAGGACTGGAACCATGGCCTCCGTTATATCGAGAGCCACTGTGTAATTGGGTGGCCCGAAATTGTTATGGGCTAGAATTTTCAGCCGTTTTCATATCTTCTGGGACATCTAAAAAAATTGCCAATAAATGAATAAATAAGCTCTCATTCGGCTTATGCTGATTCAGTTATCAAAAAATGTATCAACAATTCTAGAAATTATGGAAATAGCTGTAATCTGTCACAATCAATGCTTTACTCAAGTAAATGATTGATTTTTTATGTGCCATTATGTGAGATACAAAGATGATTAATGGGTCCATCAAACAACTACGGCGAACAAAATTTTGAGATCTTACCTGAAAAACCAAACTAAATATGCTTTATGATATTTGCTTATGTAAAATTCATAACGCAGGATATATTTATGCTGAATTTCATAGTTCATCTGATCCTCTTTTAGTTTCAGTGAATAATATTTGCTACAGGCGATAGAACTGGATGACCAATCTTAATCAAGTATCTGGTTTTGATTTTGGGTACCCGGTTTATGAAAGTGACCCGACGGGTCACGGATAATATTTTTAATTCATTTTGGAACCCTATGCAAGATATACCGTAGAGCACTGCATAAAGTACCCGGGGTCTTATTCAAGAATCTCATTTTTAAAATTGAATAGTACCGGGTACT